CCATATAGATGTCATGTGAGACAGGAAAATAAACATAAGTTTCATTCTAGATTCATTGTATCAAAACACAATATTAAAGAGAAAACAACATTTATGGCTAATCCAGCTCCTACATCTGTTTTGGCATTACCGGTCGAAATTGTTCATGATATTTTGGATTATTTCGATAAATCAACAATTTTCTTTTTAATTCGTAATGTATGTCGACGATGGAATATGATTACCGATAGTTATCGCCGTTATCAAGTAAGTTTCTACTTTCATTATTGATACAGATCTCTTTCATTTGTAAAACATCATCTAATTCATAAAATATTTATCCTGATTCTTTCAATTGCTGATTTTAGAAAAAGTAGTACCCAGGTCAAAAGAGCAGAAGTCAGATCTTGCAGACCAAGATGAAATCGTATGAAAATCTTACAAAGAAACGCAGTCTTGGAAATCTAGCATCAGATCGTACTACAAGATGCTTGAAAGATCCTACTAACGCATGAAATTTCCTATAATCTTAGGGTACTATCGTAAAGGACAGCAAGATCTTTCAAGAATCTTAAAGTACAATCTTATGAGATGCTGACAAGATATTTTTTCAGCAGGAAAGTTGTTTTGCAGTTTTTGTTTTCTATTTCTTTTAACAGAAAATACGTAGATTAGAATCTTTGATGACATGATATTTAGTTATTAGTATTGTTCGCATGAACAAAAAGTCAAGTACAAGATAGTGGTGTATCAGTTTAGGTTCGATGAGAAGAATAATTCGTATTCAGTCTTTATTGATAAATAGTTCATGTCAAATATACAGTCCTGGCTAAAAGCTGAAACTAAAAGCTTGAAATATTGATAATGTTCACGGGGGTGAGGGACTTTTGACCAGGACTGTACACTGGAAAGTGCATTGAGTGACACGATGGTTTCTACTGTTATTTACTGAAATATTGGGACAATGTATGTCATAGGCTAATATAGTAGTTAGACTGATGAAATGAAAATGAAAATGCTATTTACCCTTCTCTATGACATAACTTGTAAATATAATATCATTAAGAAAAAACGATTTATGCATGGAAGATGTATCACGAAATGAAAAAGTTTTTTCACACTATAATAATATGAAATAGTTCGAATAGATTGCCAGAAAAGGAATTCTAAACGAAAGCAGTCTCAACACAATAAAACTTCAGAGCGCGCCTATCAATTGTAAATATTCTTATAATTTTGGTTTACTCATTTAATTAGATTTCAAGGCTTCTAAGGATAGACCATGGATTTAGGAATGCCAATGTTCGTGAGTTCCACATTTTAGCACGGTAAGAGGCTGCATTGATAAGCTTTTCCCTAAGATTTCCGTAACAAACATGAAAATTAATATCAAATTCTGAATCAGCATAAAAAATTAAAGTGACTTATGAGTACTTATGAGAGCTTTCTTTTTCATCGAAAAATTCGTCAATACTACGTTCCAGAATATTTCGCTAAAAAACTGAATTCTACAAAAATCAGGTTTCAGCGATGATAAACAAGTACTAAAGTTGTAAAATGAC